GGTTTAGGGTTTAGGAAGGTTCAGGGGGCTTATGGCCAAAACCTTAAACTCTACAACATGTCTAAACATTCGCCCAGAACCGTCTACCCTGAACCCTAAAGTGTAAGCCACAAACCTTAAAGCCTAGACCGTAAGCCGTAAACCCGAAAGCCCTAACGCCTTAACCCCACGGGTGAGGGTAAGGCCATGACATAGCCACACCGGTGCCTGACCCCCGAAGCCTGTCCTTGAGGGTTTGGGGGTTTAGGGGTTCGGGTTCACGGTTTAAGGGTTGAGGGGTAAGCGGACAACAGTGTAAGCCCTGAAACCCTGCGGTTCAGGGTTTAAGGGTGTACTTTTGATTTTTTGGTGTTTAAGGGCCTTTTCTTTTGCTTGCGCTGCAAAGCCCTTGTTGGGTGTACGGTTTAGAGTTTAGGGCCGAAACATGAAGAAACCGAGCTCTGCCAACACAAACTGCCCATGGCTTTGCCCCGAAGCGATGAAACACGTTCTTCCGCCCAAAGGCATTGGGAATATTAGAGCATGCTGGTGTCTTCGATCTTTAGGGTTTAGGGTTTGGGGTTCAGGGTTTAGGGTTTATAGAGGAGGACTTAGGAATCAGGAACCAGAGCGATGCAACCGTAGAGGAGCTTCAAATGCAAGCAAGGTGAGATGAGATACTATAGGAGTCGGAGAACAGTGCAAGATGATCCCCTAAACCCTAAACCCTAAACCCTAAACCCCTAATTAAACCCTAAACCCTTAACCCATCATGAAGGCCCGATCTGATTTTGTACGTACACATAACACCCCAGTACCCTAAACCTCTAAATCCTAAATCCTAAACCGTACAAGCCATATAAAACGCTACAAACCATATAACCCCTCTAAGCCCCCCAACCCCCCAAACCCCCGTTGTAATTCCTACGGTCGTTCGGGCCTGAACCCCAAGCTTGCTTGTTTATCGGGGCAGTGTCTGTGTCTGTGTCTAACGAAAACCTGGTTTCTGCAAGCGTCATTGCATGGTGCTGCGTCACGGTGGCGTTCTCTGGATCCTGGCATGCAGGGACTGCGTTAGGCTGTCTCTGCTAGAACTTGTTTTAGTAGGAGTTTGCTTTCCGCATCAGGTCTGGCATCTGCTTCTATGGATGTGCAATAATTATCCGCATGCCGCATGCGCAAACCCTCTTAAGTGAGCGGGTGCTTCGCGTCCTGGAAACACAGTTCGTCGATCAGGTTGGTCAAGGCGTTCCCCCAAGCCCGAGATACGAAACTCCCGACACTGATGTGGCGCTGCATGTTTGGGTCACGAGTTTCCCTTTAAGCTTTGGGGCCTAGATATTTCCTGGTCTCGGAATGGGAGCAGTATTGCTCAGCCGCAAGTGTACGGAGGCACTGAGGGCTTGCTGAATCAGAAGAGTCTGCGATGTTCCCTAAACCCTAAACTTCAATCGCTGTCGTGGAGCTTTCAGCCCTTCTCAAAACCCAATAGATCAATCAGAGCTGCTTTCCCGCTTTAGGGCTTTAGAGCGTTTAGGGCTCAGGGCTTTTTAGAATTTTCAAGTTTAAGGCTCGAGGCCTGAGGTCTATTCAACCCTAAACCCCAAACCCTAAACCCTAAACCCTACACCCTAAACCCTAAACCCTAAATGCTCGGGACGAAAGCTTTGACCCAAGAAGCTCCTTGATCAGCGTGCTGGGCATTGGGACCTGCCGAATGGAACCTCCCAGCCGGGTAAGACGACTTGGAACCCCCCCTTTTTAAACCTAACCCTAGGCTTCCAGGGACCTTATTATTGGGTCCTTTCGGGGGTCTAGGGCCCTAACTATAAGGTCCTTGGAAGCCTTGGGTAATATGGGGGCCTCAAGAATTAGAACAGGTGTCGGGGGTGAGGGGAGGGTTTCATCATAGACATATTTCCTCTGGATTAAGACGGGAATTGCATTTTATTCCGACCTCGGACTTCTAGCTTCTAGATTAAATCGCATGCGGCGTGCGTTATCATACAGCTTCGCTCCACTGCCCCACCCTTGCTTCAGGTAGCCATCACTACGACTAAGAGCTTACGGGCCTTTTCGCCGCCACTGCTCGCAATACCCACTGCCATCAACCTTTCGTGGTACGGCTGCTCCTGCCCCTGCGACTGCAACCGCAACAGCTGCTGCTGCGGTTGATGGACAAAATCCTGCATGATCTTATATACCTAAACTATGGGACTTATGGTACTATACTATATTTGGGTCATGCAGAATTTTGTCCATCAACAGTACTATGCCGACGACTACTAGTACCACGACGACGACGGCTTCTCCTACCAAGACCACCATCACCACTAGGAGAGTCACCTGCACCTGTCACCACCATTACCTTGACTAAATTCCAAACCTAATGTAGGGGCCTTAATAAATAATAAGGAAGCCCAAAAATCATGTAGGCCCCTATACGACCAAGTGTTTCGATTTCCACGTTAAGGCAAACGTGGACTGACCAGGACGTACTTGAACCCCAGAACTTTCCACTACCTGCGGCACTGTAGAGGGCAACGCAAAGGAAACAAGCTAACAGCCTAATATAGGGGCCTAAATAATTAGAATAGGGTTTTGGGGCCCGATATACCATAATCATGTTAAGGATCCCGCAGAATAATGTAGGTAATTATCTTATTAAGCCCCCTGTATTACATTCCCGGAAATTACTAGACTCGGAGAAATCTTAGAGTGTCGTCAACAAGCCTTCTGACCCTTTTCTTTGAGACTCGGAAAGACACCGAAATTCGTAACACTCTAAGCCCTGCAAGCTCACTACTCTCTTAACGCCGAGTTTCAAAATGGCTACAAAGCCCGAACACACTCGCACAAGACTGCAGAAGTTGGAAAGCGAAAGATGCATTCTGCCCTGAACCCCAAACGCTAAACCCTAAACGCTAAACCCTAAACCCTTTCCTTCTTCAGTGTCCCAGCAGCCTACGGGTTTCGAAGGCGTACCGATGGCGGTGCCGTTGACGGTTGCGTGGGCGGTGCCGACAGCGGTGCCCAGTGCCGTGCCGAGAGCAGAGCCCAGACCGCCGAGCCCAGTGCCTGGGCGGTTTAGGGTTTAGGGTTTAGGGTTTAGGGTTTAAGGGTTATAGGGGCTTAGGGTTTAGGGGCTTAGGGTTCAGGTTGAGGGTTTAGGGGTTAGGGATTAGGGTTTACCTGTGGTCTCCATTGTAGTTCCTTTTTGGGGATACCTTATAGAATTCTTAATATATAGTTGGTTAAACCAAAAAAAGGAACTACAATGGAGACTATAGGTAGGGTTTAAGGGTTAAGGGCTTAGGGTTTAGGGGCTTAGGGTTCAGGTTCAGGGTTTAGGGGTTAGGGATTAGGGTTTAGGGACTTTAGGGACTTTAGGGGCTTAGGGGCTCCCATAATAGGAATCTATAGTACGTACTAGGGTTTCCTTTCATGGTAACCTAAACTGAACAAAATCTAGGACATTTTCAGGTGGGTAGTCACCGTTATAGGAGCCTTATAGAAGGTCTACATACCTTATAGAAGCCTTATAGAAGCCCTGTATACCCTAAACTCCCCACCTGCAGTTTCCTTTAACAAAAAGTCCTTTTGAGAACCAAGGTGCCCAACCCGGGCGCCGTTGGCGTGGCAGCGCCGGTGCCGGGGCCTTCAGAGAAGCTTCTGCGACTTTGAATTATAGGGACTTTACCCATAGGCTCCATAGTAGTTCCTTTTTGGGATTCCTTTATAGGATCCTAAATACAAACCACAGAAAGGAACTACTATGGAGCCTCTGGGTAGGGACTCTAAAGGTGTAGGGATATTGGGGCCTAGAATGCTAGAATTTAGGGGTACAGGGCTGGAGGACAGGACCCCTAAACCCTAAACCCTATAGGCATGAGGCTCGGAGTGTAGCAAAATCTTTAAACCCGAGTCCCGAAGCGAGCAAAGTGGTCCCAAATCCTATCTGAGCATTTAGGGTTCAGGGGTTTGTATCCCAGTCCCATCTCCCGTGCAGGACTAGATTATGGCAGAAGTGACATGAACAAATGCGTGAACCCCGGCACTAAACCCCAAACCCTAAACCGAAGGAGAGAGCCGAGGCTCCGTGAGTGAGCGGCGTGGCTCCCATGAGTGTCGTCGCGGCGGCTGTTGAGCCTGAAATGCGAAAGCTTGCAAGAAAGCTGGCTTCGGGTTTAGAGTTTTCACGGTTTTTGGGGTTTGTGATGTGGAGTTCGCGGTGGAGCTGAGGCAACATGCCTGTACATTGCCGCTGCACCCTTCGCGGGTAGAAACTCGCACGACACAATGCTTGTCGTCTTACTTATGTACTCTATGGGTCCTGTTTATCGTTAAGGGCATTGCGTTTGGATTCGTTGTGGCACGAATGCTACAACGAAAACAACAGGCCAGATGATAAGCGGTGTTTTTGGCCGGCAGCTGCTGTTTCACCCCTGTTCGGGGAACTGATAAAGCAGAGTCTCATGTCGGAAAGCTCGCGAACTCCCACTCCCACCTGTGCTAGATCCTTGTAACCCTAACCGTAACCGCCCAGGTACCTACTATATAGGGCCCTAGGGGCTCTAGTACCCTATATAGTAGGTACCTTTGGGGGTTAGGGTAACTGCGTCGAAGTAGCTCAAATGGTCGCGCTCAGGTGTGCCAGGCGCCGCATAGACAGGTGCGCCTCGATAGGTCAGAGTGGAGTGCTCGACGGTCTAGGCTGGGGAGTACTAGTAGTCGTCGTCGTCGCGGTCGCGGTCGCGGTCGCGGTCGCGGTCGCGGTCGCGGTCGCGGTCGCGGTCGCGGTCGGGGTCGCGGTCGCGGTCGCGGTCGCGGTCGTGGTCGTGGTCGTGGTCGTGGTCGTGGTCGTGGTCGTGGTCGT